GTAGTAGTCGTCGTAGTAGTAGTAGTAGTAGTAGTAGTAGTAGTCGTCGTAGTAGTGATCATAAGAACATACACATAGTAATACATTTATAATCAGCCTACCAATACATACTAGTACTGATAATCGTACCAGTAATACTAGTATTACTAATACTACAAGTAATACTACCAACAGTAATACTGATGCTAGTGCTGATAAGGTTCAGCAAGAGAATAACATTAATAATACGAATAATAAGAATACTAAGACGACTACGAACAAGAGACAGAAGAGGAGGAGGATGAGGAGGCGGAGGATGCGGAGGAGGCGGAGGAGGCGGAAGAGGTGGAGGAGGAGGATGAGGAGGAAGAGGAGTAGGAGTAGTAGGAGGAGGAGGATGAGGAGGAGGAGGATGAGGAGGAGGAGGAGCAGGAGCAGGAGCAGGAGCAGGAGCATCAGGAACAGCAGAAACAGCAGGAGGAACAGGAGCAGCAGGAGGAGCAGGAACAGCAGCAGCAGCAGGAGCAGCAGCAGGAGCAGCATGATCAGCAGGGGCAGCAGGAGCAGCAGGAGCAGCAGCAGCAGCGTTAGCAGGATCAGCAGGAGCAGCAGGATTATCATCATCAGCAGCAGCAGGAGGAGGAGGAGGAGGAGGAGGAGGAGAGGGAGGAGGAGGAGGAGGAGGAGGAGGAGAGGGATGAGATGATGATTGAGGATGCTGATGGTGATGATGCTGATGCTGATGTTGGTGATGTCGATGCTAACGATGGTGATGTTGATGTTGCTGATGCTGATGATGATGATGATGATGATGATGATGATGATGATGATGATGATGGTGATGGTGATGGTGATGGTGATGGTGATGGTGATGGTGATGATGATGAGGGATGATGATGATGATGAGGAGGAGGAGGAGGAGTAGGTTAAGGAGGAGGAGGAGGAGGAGGAGGAGGAGGAGGAGGAGGAGGAGGAGAGGGAGGCTGAGGACAAGGATGGTTAAAAAGGTCGAGCGGAAGGAGGCAGCGCAGTGGCACGGCCCACGGGCAGGCCCGGCGGGGCCCCGCGAGGACCGCAGCAGGTCCCGCGACGCCAGCGCCCCCCGCGGCCGACCGCCCGCCCGCGCGTCGCGGAGCCGCTCCGGCAGGCCGCCGCCCAAGGAACCGCTCGCGCGCGGCAGGGGTCTGAGGAGGATCAGTTAAAGTTTGTTGGCTGAGCAACGCTACCGCGCGGTGGGGCTTCGCCTGCGTGCCGTGCGCCTGCACGCTCGTGCGTCGCAGGGCACGGCGGGAGGGAGGGAGGGAGGGAGGGAGGGAGGGAGGGATGGAGGGGGGGAGGGAGGGGGAGGAGGAGGAGGAGGAGAGGGGAGGAGGAGGGAGGAGGAGGAGAGGAGGGAGGAGGAGGGCGGAGGAGGAGGAGGGGGAGGACAAGTGTAAACCCAAGAGGCATCAACTATGTTGGAATAAACCCTCCCTCCAAGCTTCCTTTTCACAGGCTCCTACAACGGTTCATTTCCATTGAGGGAACTGCCCCGTTTGAAGACAACCGTTTGAAGACCCTTCAGCATGCCAAAACATTGCTCTCAGAATTCCAACGCCACAGATCAACCTGAGTGTTGCGTGTTGATCCAGAATCGTGCCAGAACGCCATTCCTGAAACTTCAGCATAGCAAATCAACGTAACTGTTGCGCCCACGTAATCCGAGTCCTTTCAAAACATCATTTCTGGTATTTTGATGATGGGAATCCGCGAAACTCTTGCAGAGTTTTAAAACGAATGTTCGCCGCCTGAAGGCGAGAGCCACATTTTGAAAAGGAATCGCCTTCAAACTGTGAATCTCTTGCAATTTTTTCCCAACCATCCTTTGGTGTTGGGTCCTCGTTTTGAAGAGAGAGCGCCCCGCGTCTCCCTCCTCCTCCTCCTCCTCCTCTTCCTCCCGCTGCCCACTCCCTCCCCCTCTCACCATCATCATCGTCATCGTCATCGTCATCGTCGTCATCATCATCACCACCATCACCATCATCGTGGGCACCATCGCCATCATCGGCGTCGTCAACATCGCCATCGTCAGCGTCGTCGTGCCTCTGTTCTCCGCGTGCCCACCAATTCGGCACACCCCTCACACGTTTCGTGTCCCCATGGGGAGCTCCACCGAAGGCCCCAGTGGCCAAGTTCGATGGCGGCCCCGCTCCATTTCGGTGCACCCCTCACACGTTTCGCTGCCCCATAGGGAGCTCCACCGAAGGCCCCAGTGGCAAAGTTCGCATGGCGGCCCTGCTCCATTTCGGCGCACCCCTCACACGTTTCATGGCCCCATAGGGGGCCCCACCAAAGGCCCCAGTGGCAAAGTTCGCGTGGCGGCCCCGCCCCATTTCGGCGCACCCCTCACACGTTTCGTGGCCCCATAGGAAGCCCCATCGAAGGCCCCAGTGGCCAAGTTCGATGGCGGCCCCGCCCCATTTCGGCGCACCCCTCACACGTTTCGCTGCCCCATAGAGAGCTCCACCGAAGGCCCCAGTGGCAAAGTTCGCATGGCGGCCCCGCCCCATTCCGGCGCACCTCTCACACGTTTCGTGGCCCCATGGGGAGCTCCACCGAAGGCCCCAGTGTCAAAGTTCGCATGGCGGCCCCGCCCCATTTCGGCCCCATTTCGGCACACCCTTCACATGTTTCGTTGTCCCACAGGGAGCTCCATCGAAGGCCCCACTGGCAGGTGATCGTTCTTTTATTATTTTTTTTTGCTTTCGGCGGAACCCCCCGCCCCCCCCCCCCCCCGTAGAGAAGTTATGGGCTGATTTTGGCACCTGCTTCAGTCGATCGGACGAACTCCGATCGCCAAAAAAGCATGCCTCCGGTTGGGCCCTCCCCTGTTATGCCACCGACGGCCTTGTGGAATCATGAATATGTGATCCATAGTAATCCTGGCACAGCCCCGCACAATCACGCATAGCCTTGGCGCAGCCCCGCGCAGCCTCTGCGCGATTCCCCCATGGGGGGTCCCCCATAGGATTCCCTCATCGGCATCTCCCACAGGATTCCCCCATAGGCTTCCCCCATGGGCTTCCCCCATCGGATTCCCTCATAGGTCTCCCCCATAGGATTCCCCCATCGGATTCCCCCATTGGCCTCCCCCCTCGGATTCCCCCATGCGTTGTATTGTAACTGTTAGAATGAGTTTGTTTACCAGTTTCACGCCTCATGAGGCTCAAATATTGAATTTTAAGCTATGTTGAAAATTTCAAGATGATTCAATCGGAGGTATTGACTACGGGACGAGAGCTGGACCCCCCCCCCTCCCCCCCTTGCGCCAAATGACGAAACCCAGAATACATAAACGCTCACCAGGGTCGCATGGCGCCATAGCACCCATTTCGGCATACCCCTCACGCGTTTCGTGGCCCCACAGGGAGCTCCACCGAAAGCGGGGCTCACAACTGCGGTAACCACAATTGCATATGGTTGGGTCCTTCGCCAGGATGATTAAAACGAATGCGTGCCGCGCTAAGGCGAGAGTCACATTTTGAAAACGACCCGCCCTCAATCCTTGAAGCTCTCGCATTTTTTTTCGAAAGTGCGCCGCGCTCAGGCGAGAACCACATTTTGGAAACGACCCGCCCTCAATCTGTGAAGCTCTTGCAAATGTCTAAAATGAATGTGCGCCGCGCTAAGGAGAGAGCCAGATTTTGAAAACGACCCGCCCTCAATCCGTGAAGCTCTTACAATTCTGTAAAACGAATGTGCGCCGCGCTACAGCGAGATACACATGTCGGAAACGATTCGACCTCGATCCGTGAAGATCTTGCAAGGTTTTAGAACGAATGCGCGCCGCGCTACGGCGAGATACACATTTTGAAAACGAACCGCCCTCAATCCGTGAAGCTCTCAAACTTTTAAAGCGAATGTTCGCCGCGCTCAGGCGAGAGCCACATATTGAAAACCACATTCCATTTGTGAAGCTGTTGCCAATTTTTAAAAATCTTCAGAGTCATAAGTGGTGAGTGAGTCTCAGGCGAAACTCCCGACCCGCCCTAAAAATTGGCCTCGGGGTATGTATAAGGGAAAGATGGATGAGGAGGAGGACGAGGAGGAGGAGGAGGAGGAAGAACAAGCAGTATGATAATGATAATTTTAATAATGGTAGCAATAATGATCACAATACTAATAAGACGAATAATAATAACAATACCCATATTACTAGCAATACCAAGACCATTAATAATACGAATACGTAGAATACTAATAAAACTATTACTGATAACAATATCAGTGCTAAAACAAGTCATGATAACTTAATAAGAAGAACAATACCAATCATAATAATAATAACGATAATCATGGTAATCCGAACGACAAATAATATTGCTAAACGTAATACTAATAATAGGAGTCGGAGGAGTCGGAGGAGTCGGAGGAGTCGGAGGAGGAGGAGGAGGAGGAGGAGGAGGAGGCCACGCCTCCCTCTTTCCCCGCCTCCTCCCCCCCTCCTCCGTTTCATCCTCCTCCCCCTCCCTCCACTCATCCCCTTCTCCTACCTCTCCTCCTCTCTCCTCCTCCTCCTCCTCCTCCTCCTCCCCCTCCCTCCCTCCCCCCTCGCCCTCCTTCTTTCCTCCCCTCCAGGTGGAGCGACCGATCAAGGGGGTTCCGGGCGCACCCCTGCGAGTGCGAATTTCCGCCAGCTGTCCCCGCACGTGGCGCGCGGCGGCCGCCATAGCTGCTGCCACTCGCGCCCGCGGCGGGCCCTCCCAGCCGCTGCCACGGCCCACGGGCCCCCCGCGTAGCATCGCCGGGCCAGGCCCCGCCGAGCTGACGCCAGAGTGCTGCCTTCGTCTTGCGTCAGCCGCCGACATCTCGAGAAAGCACCACAGCTCGATGGCCACGGCGCCACGGAGCCGCACCCGAGATTCTCGCAGCTTCTCGGCACCTCCTCTGGCTTCCTGGCTGTGTGCGCAGTGTAGTACGTCCAATTGGCCACTGTCACGCTCGTGTGTATGGTGCTGCCCTCCGACGGGAGGACGGCGTCCTGGACGCTCGCGCCCGCCAGATCGTCGGGCCAGGTCACAGGATCCGGGACCCAATGCGAAGGAGGAGGCATCTGCAGCGGACGCCCCTCTTCCTCGCCTCCCTTCTCCCTCCTCCTTCCTCTCCTCCTCCTCCTCCTCCTCCTCGTCCTCCTCCTCCTCGTCCTCCTCCTCCTGACGTCTGCATCTTCTGCTGCGGCGACTCTTCCAGCTGCGCCCGCGGTAGCCCGTGCACACTCCAGTGGAGTCGAGCGGCCCGAGGGCGCCGAGGAGTTGGCCGCCCACGGGAACCAGCTCAAGACCAGCCTGACCGCGCTCGCGTCCCGAACTGTAGGCGGCCAAGCCTTAGCCCAGACGCCGGGGCAGCTGCGGCCACTGGAGAGCAGATGCAATTTCGTCGTGGGGGCTCATTGTGAATCCAGTGCAGCGTCGACTTTTTGAGCTCGGCGCCGAGGTTCGATGCCCCAGCTTGCGTGCAGCCACCTCTGACAAGGATGACGACGGCCAGCAAGAAGTCTACGCGGATCACGCCTAGTTGTTTTTTTGTTTTCGTTCTTTGTCTTATTTTTGATAAACAATCTTGTTGTTTATTGTTTTTGTTTTTTTTGTATTTGTTGTTGGCTTTTTCGTGTGAAAAATGTGTTATTCTTGATCTAACAATGAACAGCGAATCGTAGACAATTATTGGAACAGCCATGGCTTTCCCAATGAATTATCGTGAAAGCCAAGACTTTGCTGGCTACCGCGCCGTTCATGGTCAGTACCCTTTTCGCTTCCTTCGCGGCAAGAGGCATGCGCCTCCGCTCAGGCCGCGGCAGGTCCTGCGACGCTGTTTCGAAATCACACGACCCTGTCTCCGTCTCCGCCCATCCAGCTTTGCGGAGAGAGAGGTAGGCCGCGTGATCCACGTCGACTCCATGGCTTACGGGCAGCTTCAATTGCACGCTGTCCATCAAGATATCCACCCGGGCACAGTTTTGGACGAGGGGTCCAGCATCGGCCCTGAGTTGGCCCGCTGGGCCAGAGCATGCGCGGGTTCCCGGAGGACTCCACGCAACGTTTTGAGGGGGCCCATCCCTGACATCCAGGTTGGCGCAGTTCTAGTGTATTCCCTGCTCATCTCTGGTCGTCTTTTCAATTCTAGTTCCTGGCCAGCGTTGACGGCGGCGCAGGCAGCAGGGCTCAACGATGACCTCGTGCATTTGTATCGTGCAGTACTTGAGCAGCCGAGGAAAGATGGCGCGGTTGACGCCGACGTCCAGGTCCTCGCTAAGGTCTCCAGGCCCTCCGCCGAGGTCCACATCAAGGCCCATGGTCAGGAGGGAAAACAACACACAGACACAACTTATCGTCGATTCCCCAGAAAGGATGGGAAAACGTGGGCGGGGGGGGGGGGAAGACAGACACCCAGAACACATGGGAACATGTGGGGAATCCTGTTGTCTGTGTCTATTTGTTTGTGTGTCCCAGGGCCCCTTCAAGAGAGCAGGGGGCGCCCGGTGCGGTCACTTCCAGGCCCCCCTATGCACTGCGAGCGCGTTCGCGACAGCTCTGGCCGCTGGCCGCCGTCGGAGCTGCTATATTCGGGGGGCGGGGAGGAGGACGGGGCTAGGGGAAGCGGAGGAATCGGAGGAGGAGGAGGAGGCATCGGATGGAATCGGAGAAGGAGGAGGAATCGGAGGAGGCGGAGGAGGAGGAGGAGGAGGAGGAGGAGGAGGAGGAGGAGGAGGTGTACCAGGGCCCCTTCACATCACATGGGCGTCTGGCTGCCTGGCAGGATGTTGCACGGGGGGCCTCTTGGGGGCACCGTCCTCTTCGGGGGGGGGGGGACGACGGCCACCTCTGGGGTCGCGCAGCTTTGCTCTGGCAGGGCTGGACCTAAAAACGGTGTTTTTGGTGATCTCGTGGGCCGTTCTCGCTTCGGTTTCGTCTTGCGGTTAGGGCGGGAACGACACGAAAACGAAACGAAAACGAACAGCACCGTTTCGGTTCAGCACTGTTATCCGGGACCGTGTCTGGATTCGGGGTGTCCCAGACCCCAGTTCGACACCAGTTCGACTCTAGATTCGACTGAAGGTCGGCTCCGGTTCGACTCCAGTTCGGCTCGGGTTCGGCTCGGGTGCGACCCAGGTTCGACTCGAGTCGACGGACGCTCGACGCGGCTGTTCGCGATCTCCCAGGTCTCCGTGGAGATTTCCAGGCCTGGGCCACGCTTATCCAGCGCTCTCCATGCTTGCCCGCTTGGAAACATGTCATCGGAGAGGCTGTGCACGGGCAAGCAGCCTGCCAGGCGCGCGCAGTGAAGCGGCGGGCATGGTGGCCGCCAGTGTTTTCGCAGTATTGTGAGACGCTGGCGTGCCACGTGCCGTCGCCGACTCTGCGCGTCCTGCGCGTGCTGGTCCAGTCTCAACGGTCTGAATTTTTCATGTACTCCAGATTTCGTAATAAAGGGAGGGGGGTCCCATTTCGGGGGGGGGTCCTCTTCCAGGCTATCTTGGAGGGCCTGGGGGGGTCTGGGGACGATGTTTTGGAGGGTTCTCCCACGGGAGAGTTCTGAAATGGCTTGTCTTGGAGGGTCCAGACCCCCTCCCTTTTATTACGAAATCTGGAGTATGTGGTGCCCAAGCATATTCGCACAATTGAAAGGTACACGACACAATCTTGCATGCGCACACAGGTCTCTCTCGCACATCGTGCGCATGAATCTCGGGGGCGCCGCCGCACGCGATTGTTGCTTTATGCCTTTTGCTGGCCAGCGTTCGTTGGTCGAACGCTTGGCCAAATATTCCCCGCGCCGTGCGCTTGCTCTCCTGACTTCCGACCCAGGTGCCGCTGGGCATGGGGGCGCGGCAGCGCGCGTCGAGCAGCTGAATGCAGCAGCGCAGCAGCAAGCGGACAGCAGCCTGCGTGCAGGTCTTGGAAGGTGGTGACCCGAGTGGCTCGCCAGACCAGGATGTCCTGGCAGACCGCGCACCGAGATCGAGCATGCCGTCATCCGACCCGGAGGCGGAGGAGGAGGAGGAGGAGGAGGAGGAGGAAGGAGGAGAGGAGGAGGAGGAGGAGGAGGAGGAGGAGGAGGGCCCGCGAAGTGCTAGCCTCGGCTGATGGTGCTCCCGCCCCGGAAGCGTCGCCCACAAGCGCCGAGGTGTTGACCCGCGCGGCTCCAGCCGGCCCCCTCTGCCTGCCGGCGGGACGAGACCCCGGGTGGTCGCTCCTGGCCGCTCGGGCCCCGGGGGCTCCCGCGGGGCTGACGCCCAGGGTCTCCCTCCTCCTCCCTCCTCCTCCCTCCTCCTCCTCCCTCCTCCCTCCTCCTCCTCCCTCCTCCTCCCTCCTCCTCCCTCCTCCTCCCTCCTCCTCCTCCGGTTCCACGTGCGTAGATCTGAAGTTCTGGCTCCAGACCTGTGTTCCGTCATGAGCAGATCGGGGGAGAGGTGCGGTGGCGCGCAGAGTTTGCCGACCTTTTATCAGCAGCTTGGCCCCCTCCACGGTCGCTCCTGGGACATCGCGATCGATGCGGTTCAGGCGACCTGGCCCGAGCATCGTCGATCGGCATTTGGGTCGAGCGCATTCGAGCTCGGCGCATCTTCAACTCGGGAGGGGGGGGACCCTTGCGAGACGTGGTTTTCGGCGAGGTGGCGCGAGGTGGGCGCCCCTCCGGTTCGCGTGTCCGACCGTATTCGGGGCATCCCGCTTTGCAGTGGTCGTCCGCGCGATCAGTTGAATGTCGGTTCGTAGCTGTTGTTCGCCATTTTTCTGCTCCTAGCGGAGCGCGTGAGAGTCGGAACCTCCAGATGGATGGAACACCCAGTGCCTCCTGCGTGGTTCCCCAAAGCGCCCGCTTCGATCAGATGGTCTTCGCTCGTTGCTATAGTTTCTGCTCCGCGTGCGAGTTCCACGGTCTTCGGCCAATGTGAACATGTGCCTCCTAGCGCTGATGGCCCCAGGTATGCCGCGCGCCGCCAGGATTGTGGGCATCAGAACGCCCCGCCTCCAACCTCTCCTTCGTCCTGCTCCAGGGCAAGGTCGTTGTGCGCACGGGAAAGGCGCGCGCATACAGTTGCTAGGAAAAACTGGCAACTATCTTTGAACTTCATGTAAGAAAGCCTACCCGTCGGGGCTATGTAAGGTCTTGGCTGAGGCGGTCCCCTAGTCTGTGCAGCAATTCGTTCCAGATTCGACGGGGCCAGCTGAATTTGAGCAGGGCGATGAGTCAGCGGAGCTCTTGCACGGTTTGAGAGATTTCCGTGTGCCTTGGTCTGAGATTGCTGACGTTCGTTTCCATAAGGCTCCAGAGTTCGCCAGATCAAGTAAGAAGAACAAGAAGGCGGATCCTGAACTGTTCAGGTTCCTGAGTGAACCCGACTCCCCTCGTTCTGTTTCCTCCGACCTCCCTGGCCCCTCTCGTGCCCACGTGGAGTTGCATGCGGAGGCCTCCGAAGAGCAGGCCTATCTGGACCTGCAGCCGGATGCGGTCGAAGCCGACGCCGAGGCCTCTTTTGCCTCTCCTCCCTCTTCTTCGTCGCCTCTCTCGGCCTCGAGCCCTCCGCCTCCCCTTCCGCCCCTCCCTGGGTCTTTTCATGGCGACGACATCGCAGAGCGGATTTCGTCCGGAAAACGACAGGATGGACCCTGATTGTCCTGGAGAGTTTCGCTCCGGATTTCGAGGTGACTTTCGTGCGGATTTCTTTCGGCCAGGGATGAAGGCCAACCCAAATCCACGCGAAGTTCACTCCGTTTTTGTCACTCGCCGCTTCGGGGCTTTGCGCTGGCAGAAGTCCACGCAAAGGTCCGCAGCAGCACGTCTGCAAGGTCGGTGCAGTGAGGTCTTGCCCGAGGCTCCGCAGGCCCGCGTCGGGGCCGGCCGTGTGCCGCCCTGGGCCCCCCCAGGGACGGGCGCAGGCTACAGGGGGGGCACGCCCGCTTCGCGCTCCGTGGGGGCGCCGCTGGAGGCGTCTCGCACGGCGCCGTCGGCCAGGCGGCCGCCGTCGGTCGGAGGCGACGATGGGGGCGACTAGCCCATGAGGGGAGCAATACGTGTACTTATCCAGGGGCGCCGATGCTCCATGTCTTCGACTAGGCTCGCCCGCCCCTGGGCTATTCGCCCCTACCGTCGCCGCCGAGTCGGGGGGAGCGGGGCCGGCCTTCGGCAGCTTCTTGGGGGCCGAGCCCTGCGGTGGCGCGCAGGGTGGCGGCTCCCAAGGTCTCGGGCACCACCCGCCCTGCCCCGGCCGCAGAAGGGGCACGCACTCTGCAGTGCCCCGCGTCGCATCGTCACCCTTCTCATCGCCCTCCTCCTCCCCCTCCTTTGCCTTCTCTCCCCCTCCCCCTCCTCCCCCTCCCCCTCCCCCTCCTCCTCCTCCCTCCTCCTCCTCCTCCTCCTCCTCCTCCTCCTTCGTCGGCCTCGCAGCGCACCGCGTCGCATCGTCGCACCGCGCGTTCCCTCCCCTGCTCCTGCCCTCCGGGCGTCTGCCCCCCCCCCCCCCTGCGCGTCGACCCCCCTGCGGCCCCGCCCCGCCGCCGCGGGCCAAGGACAGAAGCCCCTCGGCGCCGCCGCCGCCGCCCCCCTCGCCGCCGCCCCCGCCCAAGAAGGCTGCGGTCTCGAAGGCGTGCGCGCCCCCAGGGAGGGAGGGAGGGGGAGAGGGATGGGGGAAGGGAGGGAGGAAGGGAGGGAGGGAAGGAGGGGGGGGAGGGAAAGAAGAGGAACACGACACGAAGATATGGAGGAGGAATACGAGGAGGAGGAGGAGGAGGTGGAGGCGGAGGATGATGAGGCGGAGGAGGAGGAGGCGGAGGAGGCGGAGGATGAGGATGAGGATGAGGATGAGGATGAGGATGAGGATGAGGATGAGGATGAGGATGAGGATGATGATGATGATGATGATGCTGACGATGATGATGATGATGATGATGATGATGATGATGATGATGATGATGATGATGATGATGATGATGATGATGATGATGATGATGATGATGATGATGATGATGATGATGATGATGATGATGATGATGATGATGATGATGATGATCAGGAGGAGGAGGAGGAGGAGGAGGAGGAGGAGGAGGAGGAGGAGGAGGACTAGTGTAAACCCAAGGGTCATCAGCGATGTTGGCTTAAGCCCTCCATCCAAGCTCCCTCTTCATAGGCCCCTACAACGGTTCATTTCCACAGTGAACTGCCTCGTTGGAAGACAACCGTTTCAAGGCCCTGAAACATGCCAAAACATGGTAAAACAACAAATGTGCGCGGCGCTAAGGCGAGAGCCACAAGAGAAAAGGAACCGCCCTCAATCCGTGAAACTTTTGCGAATTTAAAGAACGAATGTGCGCGGCGCCAAGGCGAGAGCCCCATTTTGAAAACGGTTCGCCCTCAATCCGTGAAGCTCCTGTTTTCTGTGTAAAAGGAATGTGTGCGGCGCTGAGGCGAGAGCCACATTTTAAAAATGACCCGCCCTCCATCTGTGAAGCTCTTGCAAATGTAAAAAACGGATGTGCGCGGCGCTGAGGCGAGAGCGACATTTTGAAAATGACCCGCCCTCCATCTGTAAAGTTGTTGCCACCTTGTAAACAGGGTCATACGTGATGAGGAAGTCTCAGGCGAAACGCCCGGCCCGCCCTAAAAGAAGGCCTCGGGGTGCGACAGCGAGAAATTACTCATAAGGAAAAGGAATGGAGGAGGAAGGAATGGAGGTGGAGGGGGAGGAGGAATACTAACAGTAATAGTTATAAGAAGAAGAGGAGGAGGACCAGGAGGAGGACGAGGATGAGAGGATGAGGATGTGGATGAGGATGAGGATGGTGATGATGACTGATGATGCTGCTGATAATGATGTTGATGATGATGACGATGCTGATGATGCGGATACTGATGATAATGCTGATGATGCTGATGCTGATGATGGTGATTATGCTGACGGTGATGATGCTGATGATGATAATGAAGATGTTGATGATGATCTCGGTGGTGGTGATGATGATGCTGACGATGATGATGCTGCTGCTGATGATGATGCTGATGCTGCTGCTGATGAGGATGATGATATTGCTGCTGCTGATGATGATGGTGCTGATGATGATGATGATGACGATGATGATCATGATGATGATGATGATGCTGATGCTGATGCTGCTGATGATGATGAAGCTGATCATGATGATGATGCAGATGACGATGACGACGATGACGACGATGACGACGATGATGATGATGATGATGATGAGGATGATGATGATGATGATGATGATGATGATGATTATGGTGATGCTGATTATGATTATGATTATGATTATGATGATGATGATGATGATGATGATGATGATGATGATGAGGATGCTGATTCTGATGATGATGATGCTTATGCTGATGCTGATGCTGCTGCTGATGCTCATGCTGCTGCTGATGATGCTGATGATGCTGATGATGCTGCTGATGAGGATGATGAGGATGATGAGGATGATGATGATGATGAGGATGATGAGGAGGATTCTGATGATGATGATGACGATGATGATGACGATGATGATGATGATGATGATGATGATGATGAGGATGCTGATGAGGAAGATGAGGATGCGGATGCGGATGCGGATTCGGATGAGGATGAGGAGGAGGAGGAGAAGGAGGAGGAAAATGAGCATTGGGAGAGGCAGGATGCTGAAGCGGATGATGATGATGATGATGATGATGATGATGATGATGATGATGATGATGATGATGATGATGAGGTAGATGATGATGCTGATGCTGATGCTGCTGATGATGATGACGCTGATCATGATGATGATGCTGATGACGATGACGACGATGACGACGACGATGCTGATGACGATGATGATGATGGTGATGTTGATTATTATTATGATGATGATGATGATGATGATGATGATGATGATGATGATGATGATGATGATGATAA